AATGATTCAATAACATAATTTTCTAAATATTAAAAAACAAAAAAACAAAAATTTTGAATATTTATGTTGGTCAACGCCGGTCCAATTGGTCAATGTCGGATTCCGGCGAAAAGTGTACCGGAAAAAAATGTTCGTGATGTTGGCGATATGACTACATATAGTTCGTATGTATGGGCATGCGATGCATATAGTTTGTGTAATTAAAGATACATTTTTAAACTTCGGATATGTGGCTATGTAACGTAGTATATTTCGTGTAGTTAGGTATCTTTTTTCTTAATAAATTATAGTAAGGAAAAAACAACAGCAGTTTGTGGCGTGTATTCATAAGCTCTCTCCTCGGAAAATGGTGCAGTGCTCACGACAATCTCACAGATGTCGAGCTTGCTTTTCTCTTACGGACCATCTTCAACTGGTTCCGCTTTTCAACAAATGAGCCTCGAGAATTTGTCAATGCAACAAGGAACTTCGTCAATGGCGGTGTTTTCCTTATAGAGCTTTTTGATACGCCATGAAATCCGAGGGATTTCTTAAACTTTTGCAACCAGTAAGATCGAGGATTTCGGGATCTAACAAGGTGACATCGATTGGAAGAACCTCCAGCAGTATGCACCATCTCATTTCCAACCTCACTAAATTTTGGAGATTCCCAATTTTAGAAGGTAAAGTCACCAAACTTTCACATTTGTTGAGTTTCAAACTCCACAGATTGATGGCCTTTGAAAGATCTGGAATTTCTGTCAACTTTGTGCATTCTGACAGATCGATCTCTGTGAGACTTCCAAGGGGCTGAAATTTATATATATTAAAAAAAAACATTGTTATTCTTCGATTTTCATGAGTTATGTAATCATAATTAATTCTATACCTAATTTCATGTTAAAGACTAGTATGTATGTATGTAAAATTAAACCGTGGCTCACAAGCTATTGAAAATTTCGGTTATATTTACTTATTAGTTATAACGTACACAGAGGTTAAACGAGAATCAGTGAATGCTATAACAAAAATAATGTTACCTGGACGCCTTCCCATAGCTTCTTAAGGTTTTTGTTGCCTATCACTATGAGACGAACGAGATATTCCGGGCGAAATTGACATGGTATACATGTTCTAAGGCAGCCGAGATAGTCGAGTCCATAGAGATCTCTGTTCCACATTGTGTCATAAAGATTCCTGTTCCATAAACAATCATCTACACGGATCTCAACTTGATATGGCATATTGATTGAATTCTCCATTTTAATTAGAGGAAAATTTGTCAAATTATGACAACAAGTGAGATCGAGGTCGTGGAGAGATTTCAAGTTGAGATGCGTTGGAAATCTCTTTAGCTCTATGCAACCACACATATTTAACTTTCTCAGTTTAACGGCAACCTGAATGGAGCGAGTAAGCTCTACCAAAGATATGCATCCCTGAAGATGTAATTCCTCAAGGTTTTTTGCCTTAGAAAGATTTGGAACTTCTTTCAAATATTTGGAGCGACTTAAATCCATCGTCTTGAGGCTTCCAAGTGGCTGAAAACAAAATAGGGGAAAAGAGAAAAAACACACACGTTCATAAAACATTTTTGAAAAAGATTTCATTTAACTTTTAAAACATGCATGTTACTAAATATAGTAATATACTGACAACTAATACAATGCATGATTGTTACCTGAGTTCCATCCCATAGCCTCGTAAGCTTACTGTCCTCCATGCTGAGTTCAACTAGATGCTCAGTATTAAAACTACGATGCAAATACTTCAATGGAAAACTATTCCACTCTAGCCATTTGAGTTTACGTGGCCAGTAATCGAGGCCTTTAGGTAGATGCACTATACAGGTTTCAGTCGATGACCACAAGGAATAGTTATGAATTTTTAGAAATTGGAGATTAGCCATGCCTTTGAAGGAGTCTCCATCAATTGAAATAAATTCATTACTAAGTTCTGATGCTTTGAAGAATATTCCAACTACAGTTTCCGTTCCCTGCAAAAAAATTATCGCAAGAGAACAACTATTAGTTTAGCCATAGCAACAATTTATTTTTACTAATCTAATGTACAGTATAATAATAAAAATGTAAAACAGCTTTTTTTTCCTTTTAATATGTGTGTCAAAAGTTTAAACGATTATAGTTTATACCGGAAGTAAATTATTAAACTTACGGTTTTATGAGTAAATACTTCTAGAATTTCCTCAGCATTCTTCAGAAATCGAGATTTTCCAGGATTACCTTTACACTCTGCGCGATCAATTTTAATACCCAACTTCTCTACAAAATTGTGCATCTCTATATATCCTTCTGGTGTAATACGTACGAGGGACTTATCAATCAACGATTGTAGCCCAAAATTATTGCGAAGGAAATCTTCGAAGTAACGGACTCTACAACCATTGAAAAAACATGCAACGTACAGAAATAACTCTCGATCTTTTTCACTTAACCTGTCGAACCTGATTCTTAATTTTTTCTCAATTTTTTCATCCAAATCATTTTGGAGTTGAGGCATGATTTTCATCCACTCTTTTTCCCCCCTTTTCCTTAAAGACGAACCCAAGATACTGAGACCCAAAGGAAGATTATAGGCAAGCTTTGCAGCTCTAACGGCTACTTCCTTAAAATCATGAGGTGGAGAGTTCTTCCCAAAAGCAGTCTGACATAACATCTTAAGAGCAATATCTTGAGATGGGAACTTCACCTCGTATAAATGGTCAACATCATGAACCTGATCAAAAATTCGCTTATCTTCAGAAATCACAATAATTCTGCTTCCGGGTCCAAACCATTTAGTTTTCCCCACCAAGGTCTTAAGAAACTCTGGATCATCCACATCATCAAGAACCGCAAGAACTTTCTTCTTATTTAACATTCGCTCCACTACACCGAATTTCTCTCTTATCTTTATATCTTTACCTAAAATTTCTGACAGAAATTTTTTCTCCCATTCAGACTTGATGCTATAGACATGAGGTATGAAAGCGTGAAAGTAGAATTCGCTAATGAGTTGATTATATAGAGCTTTTCCAATGGTACTCTTACCAATCCCGGAAGGCCCCCAAATCCCGATCATTCTAGCTTCCTTGGATTTCAAGGACAATAATGGTTCCATTTCCTTTAAACGAGCTTCGATCCCGACGAATCCATCAAAACAATTCGTGGATGAGGTAAGTTTATTCGAAACATCATTAGCTATCTTTTCAACCATGGCTGCTTCACTAGACCTAATAACAATATTGAGTACTTTTGTCAACAAAAAAAGAGGCACCCAGAAATGCACATTCGAAGTCTATGTAGAGAAAAATAATATTTTAATAGAAATAATGGAATCAAAACAACATACCCGTTCAGAAGATCCTCTCCGGCTATTTTTGCTATATCTGTGAGAGCTTCCATCCATCTTTGTTTCTGACCCTCTGGTTGTTTTTCCTTGCTGACCACGCATGTCTCTTCAAATAACTTACCAAAATCACCCGTCTGTTTTCCAACTTCCGAAGGATCAACGTTGTAGAAAACGGGAATCACCATTTGACCCAATTCCTTATAGCACTTGTGAATCTCAACCAATTCATTTAAGCACCACGTGGAAGTCGCATAGTTCTTAGAGAAGATGACGATTGAGATCCTCGCTTCTTTTATCGCAGTTAAAAGCGAAAGGCCGATTTGGTTGCTGCTCTCAATACCATTATCCATGAATGTATTGATCGATTTGGCGTCGAGAGCCTTGAGAAGATGGCTAAGGAACGTCTTGCGAACATCTACCCCACTGAAGCTTGGGAAAACGTCGTATCTATAGCTGCCAAAAGAACAAGCCTCCATGGGAGAAAGTAGCTAGAGAGAAGAGATCACCAAGAGTTTTAGGATAAGTAAATCAGCACTACACAACTAGAAGTTTACATATAGTATATGAGAAAAGAGAGAGAAATGGGCTTCCTTTCCTAGAAGACTTTTTGTATAAAAGATGGATATTGAAATTTTCTGGTTGTTGTTCACTGAATTATGATAAGACATATATAAGATTCCAAATATCGTAGTTTCTAAGCAAATAGACAGAAACGTCATGTTCGTTTAGCTGTCTTAAGTTGTCATGTACTTGAATATGGTTTATCGGCAAGTGTTCGTTCAGCTTGATACGGTAAGTCATGCATGGAGATGTTACGGTAATTAAAAAAGAAAAAACAAAAAAAATACCTAGCTACACGAATTATGCTATAATACATGGCAACACAAACGAAATTTAAAAATGTATCCCTAACTACACAAACTATATGCATCGCATGCTCACATATACGAATTATATGTAGTCATGTCGTCAACATCACGAACATTTTTTTCCCGGTACACTTTTCGCCGGAATCTGGCATTGACCAGTTTGACCGGCGTTGACCAACATAAATATTCAAAAAAAAAGAATATTTTTAGTTTTTTAATATTTAGAAAATTATGTTATTGAATCATTTATAATATTGTGTAATTAAAAATATATATACAATATTCAATATAAAATATTTTGTATATATATTCAATGCATTAATTTTTATAATTAGTTAGTTTCGATAATTTCAAAACTAAACTAAAAAAAAAACTAATTAGTTTACCTAAAAATAACACGTAAAAATAAATAAAAAATCACAATTTTTCTTTTTAATATTTATAAGATAGTAGATCTAACGATTTTTATAACTAGTAGAATAAAATTCACACATAATTGGTTTGCTAGCAATTGACTATGGTTAGCTTGCATGATCTCAAAACATATGCTTTTACACTTGTGGTTAGTTTTGAAAATCCATTTTTCTCTCAGTTCTTGTCTTTGCTTTCCATGTTCCATGTTCCGGATTATATAAACTATAGTATATATAATTTTAAGACTCAGTCTCCTGTCTCCCTCTGATTCTTCATATACAACGAACATGTAGTGTAAAGAAGTAGAACTGAAATAGACAATTACTTCTAATAAGTCTTGAAGATAACTAATAGCACCAGAGGTGGACTTATGTTTGAGAGCATCTTTTATTCTTTAGTCTCAGCATCTTTAATCTCACCCTTTTCCTCAACTTTGGTATTTTCTTCCTTCTTTACCTTCTTGTTTTCCATGAATTCGAGGAGGCCGTTAACCGCGATATCAATGTTCTTACTCGCCATGAGCTGCTGTGCGACTTCAGCAGGAGTTACACTCACCTCAAGGACAAGCTTTTCAATGGGATCAAACAGGACATGGTCATCAATTTCGAGGTACATAACCACAAGCTTCTTCAACGCAAAGGGGGTGCAGTAGTCCATAAGAATATGAAGATCCATTCTTCCTGGCCTCAGCAATGCCGGGTCGAGCTTCTCCTTGTGATTGGTAGTGAAAATTATGATTCGTTCTTCTCCGCAGCTCGACCAAAGCCCATCTACAAAGTTCAGTAGACCAGACAAAGATATCTGTCCACAAGGAAGAAGATACATAATAAGTTTCAAAAACAGAGCAATTAGTAAAAAACAGAGGAGTTAACAAAAACAGAGGATTTTTTCTAACTTACCCCAAGGTCACGCTTCTTTTTATTCTTTTGGAGCTTAACATCTTCTTCCTTTGAAGTCTCACGTCTATGAGACGAATCAGCTCCACAATCAATGTCTTCAATGAGAAGAATCGACCTGTTCTTGGTAGCGGTAAGAATCTTCCGCAACTCACCATCATCTCTAACACTTTGAATCTGTAGATCATAGATATTGTACTTCATATGATTAGCTATTGCAGCAACCATAGAGGATTTCCCTGTTCCCGGTGGACCGTAAAGAAGATATCCACGTTTCCAAGCGCGTCCTACTCTTTTGAAAAAGTCTTTTCCTTTAGCAAAAGAATCAAGATCCTCGATCATAGTGGTCTTAAGTTCCGGCTCGATAGCTAAGGTCTCGAAGGTCGTGTGGTGGTCGAAAATAGCAGATTCCCATGATAGCTCCTCGCGATCGTAAGTGTAGATGTAGAGATCTTGGCGATGTCTCATAATCTTCGCTGCTGATTTCGCAAAGTGAGGGAAGTAATCTTTCATTATCTTCTCACGAAACTCCTTCTTACAAGTCAGATGAAAGTACCTGAAAACATAAAACAATAACTGTAAGAACAACAAAAAGATATGAAAACTTCTTATCAAGACAAGATCGAAGAGAGAAGCTTAGTACTTTTTCTCATATGAATTATTCTTGGACTCAACGTAGTGTAGAGTCCACTCAAGATGAATCCCTTCAAACTCATCAACGATCTTTGTATTGACAGGGACTCCAAGATTTGGCTCAGCTGCTGGATTCTTGAGATCATTCGAACCAACGAGGATTTTTCCGGTCGAGGATCCGGGCAAACGTGTCGTTAAGTAAACATTGGCCGCAGTGAAAGTAGTATTACCGCAATAATCCCATTTTTGTTCAATCACAAACGTGAAATTTGATTGGAAGTAAGAAGAGAACAAGTCTAAAAATTTCGCAGTTACGTAATCACGGAGTTTCTTAGGTACAATCTCGTTGAAGATGTTACGTAGAACCAAAGTAAGTGCAGATAAAGATGTGTAGAGAGCGAAAACTGCGGATACAGAAGGGACTTGGTTAAAGAGAGAAGCCATAGCTTTAAAGCGAAGAAGAGCTTTGGTGAAGAAGTTTGTACTTTAGGGTTTATAAAGAGGTTGTGTTGTACTAAAGCGTAGTGAACAAGAAAGTTTGCATATTTAGGGTAAGTGTAGGAAACTTACACAAAAAATATGGACAAATTGAAAAGTCCTAATGTATCAGTGAATTTATTCTTAGTATAAAACTTTTTATTTATTCATAAAATTAATTAAAGAATAATTTTCTCATAGGAAAGTATCACTTAATAGTTAATACTGTTAACTGAAAAAAAAAAGCAATCTGATTAAATTTTATTTTAATGACTTAATTATATTAAAATATATATATTTACTGTCTTTCACAGATTATAATGCAAACAAGCTAAAATGTAGTAATACTAATGAAATAATAAATTACAACAAAAGGAAATATGCAAGAAAAAAAGGAAAATAATAATGATTAGATAAACAAAAACAAAAATGGTTAAAATTTAAAAATATAGAAATGGTAAAAAAAAAAAAAAATTTAAACACACATATATAATTCAATTAATTCCACTTAGAAACCATTTATTTGCGCCACAATAATATATGAAAAAGGTAATGTTCTTCAACATAGATTAGTTAAATTTTATAATTTTAACGAATACTCATAATTCGACCAGAAAATGTTTAGATATTTTAATTATTTTCAATATATGCATATCCACTAGAATGGTTTATTCACATAAAAATGATAACTTTCTCAATAGCAGCAGAGGTCTACTTATATTTAAGCTTCTTTAGTGTCAGCATATTCAAGCTCTCCCTCTTTCTCTACTTTGCCATCTCCTTTCTCCATCTTCTTGTTTTCGAGGAACTCGAGGAGACCATTGACCGCGATATCAGCATTCTTACTCGCCATGAGCTGCTGTGCGACTTCAGCAGGAGTTAAACTCACCTCAAGGACAAGCTTCTCAATGGGATCAAATAGGACATGGTCATCAATCTTGAGGTACATACAGAGCCGTCCCTACACTTAATACGACTACAAGCCGGACAAAAAAAAAGACCACTTTCTTCATATTCATAATTAAAAAAAAATTGATCAAAGTAAACATAAAACTGATATGGTTAACAAAAGCATTAAAAGTTCTAAAACATCACATATCAATAAAAATTTTCTTTTTCTGAATATGATTCTTCTTGCATTTCTACTTGCAAATTCATCTATCAAATCTTCGTAGTCAAGTTTTTCCGCCAAACTTACGTAAGAGGATCTGATTTTATAAGATGGATTCTTGAATAGGAATGAGGTATGGAGACAAAATCAATGATTGTGAGGGCAAAAAGGATGTGCAGTACAGTAGGGGGTAAAGTCCCGCGAGACGCGATTTTAAGTAAACTTCGGCCCCACGGAAAGTCTGATTTTCACAAAACTCACATGTTTTGTCAATCACAAACGTGAAATTCGACTGGAAGTGAGAAGAGAACAGTTCTGCAAATTTCTTAGTGATGTAATCTCGTAATGGTTTAGGCACAACGTCGTTGAGGATTTTACGGAGGATCAAAGTGGTTGCAGATAAAGATGTGTAGAGGCCGAAAACTGTGGATATAGAAGGGACTTGGTTAAAGAGAGAAGCCATAGCTTAAGCAACAAGGAAGATGGTGAAGAGCTTTTGTTTAGAAGAGTATGTGTTTATTTGGGGTTATAAAGAGAAACCTAGCCAACTTTTAATATTTAAATGCTTAATAAAGAAAGAAAATAAAAATTACAAACAATAGAATTTATTAACTATCAAGATATTCATAATATAATTTGAGAGTTCCTCTCATTGGAAAAGTGTCACATACTATTAAGAAGAAAGCAATAATTTTTAAAAAAAAATAAACTAAGCTAAACCTTAATGATATTTATTGTCTTCTACAAAAAGAGTATAAAGCACAAAAAAATATCTAAAATAAAATATGAATTTTTTTATATTAATTTTTGTTTTCAAAGTTAGTTATTAAGAAGATTGTGCCTCATGTCAATTGTCCCTGTTAAATGTTGACACATGTTAATTCTAAATTTACTAAAGTATTTTAAAATGAAATAATTATTAGCATATCATAAAAAAAGAAAATCAAGTAAAAATAAAAATATTCCTTTTGTATAGTAAAATAAAATATTTTACAAGTATTAAATTTGTAACCTAATTTATTGGAAATGAAACTTCTTTGCTAATATAGATCAAATCATTAGATTTTAGAGAAATAATTACTAATAATCTTTTTATGATACCTTTTTGCAAAACTACCCTCTTATTTTGCCATTTTCATGTTTGTCCTCTGCTAAATTTTAAGGGCCATTTTACCCTATTTGAAAGAATATTATTTCCCATAGGAAGGAATATTCTTTCCAAAAATTTTCTCCCCAAAAATTTCTCGCCAAAACTTTTTCCGCCAAAACAATTTCCGGCAAAAAAAAATATTTTTACAAAATTTTCCGGCATAATTTTTTACAAGGATTTTTAAAAGGTATTTTAAAGGTTTTACAAGAGTTTTTAAAGAAATTTACAAGAGTTTTTAAATGGTGAAATTATTCTTAGTATAAAACTTTTTATTTACTCTTAAAATTAATTAAAGAATAATTTTCTCACAGGAAAGTATCACTTAATAGTTAATACTGTTAACTGAAAAAAAATCTGATTAAATTTTATTTTAATGATTTAATTATATTAAAATATATACATACATATATAGATTATAATGCAAACTAGCTAAAATGTAGTAATACTAATGAAACAATAAATTACAACATAAAGAAATATGCAAGAAACAAAAATTGAATAATGTCTAGACTGGTGTTCAAAAAAAAAAGAATAATGATTAGATGAACAAAAAACAAAAATGGTTAAAATTTAATAATATAGAAATGGTAAAAAAAAAAAAATATTAAACACACATATATAATCTAATTAATTCCACTTAGAAACCATTTATTTTCGCCACAATAATATATGAAAAAAGGTAATGTTCTTCAACATGACCACAAAATGTTTAGATATTTTAATTATTTTCAATATACAGTATGCATATCCACTAGAATGATAACTTTCTCAATAGCAGCAGAGGTCTACTTATGTTTAAGCTTCTTTAGTGTCAGCATATTCAAGCTCTCCCTCTTTCTCTACTTTGCCATCTCCTTTCTCCATCTTCTTGTTTCCGAGGAACTCGAGGAGACCATTGACCGCGATATCAGCGTTCTTAGTCGCCATGATCTGCTGTGCGACTTCAGCAGGAGTTACACTCACCTCAAGGACAAGCTTCTCAATGGGATCAAATAGAACATGGTCATCAATCTTGAGGTACATAGCCACAAGCTTCTTCAAGACATATGGGGTGCAATAGTCCATAAGAATGTGAACATCCATTCTTCCCGGCCTTATCAATGCCGGGTCGATCATCTCCTTGTGATTGGTAGTGAAAATTATAATCCTTTCTTCTCCGCAGCTCGACCAAAGCCCATCTACAAAGTTTAATAGACCAGACAAAGATATCTGTCCACAAGAAAGAAGATTTAGGTTCGAAAAAACAGAGAGGTTAACAAAAACAGAGGAAATTTTTCTAACTTATACCCCAAAGTCATCCTTCTTTTTATCTTTTTGGAGCTTAACATCTTCTTCCTTTGTAGTCTGGCGTCTATGAGACACATCAGTTCCACAATCAATGTCTTCAATGAGAAGAATTGACTTGTTCTTGGTAGCAGTAAGAATCTTCCGCAGCTCACCATCATCTCTAACACTCTGAATCTGTAGATCATAGATATTGTAGTTCATGTGATTAGCTATTGCAGCCACCATAGAGGATTTCCCTGTTCCCGGTGGACCGTAAAGAAGATATCCACGTTTCCAAGCGCGTCCAACGCCCTTGAAGAAGTCTTTTCCTTTAGCAAAAGCATCAAGATCTTCGATTATGGTCGTCTTAAGTTTCGGCTCCATAGCTAAGGTTTCGAAGGTCGTGTGGTGCTTGAAAATAGCTGGTTCCCATGCTGACCGCATTTGGTTGTAAGTGTAGATGTAGAGATTTTCGCGTTGTCTCATGATCTTCGCTGCTGATTTCGCAAAGTGAGGGAAGTAATCTTTCATTATCTTCTCACGAAACTCCTTCTTACAAGTCAGACGAAAGTACCTGAAAACATGAAACAACACAAAAGACCAACATTGTAAGAACAAAAGAAGATTTAAGATTAAAGATCAAGGAGAAGACAAAGATCAAGATAACGAGTACTGTTTCACATACTTATGATTGTTCGACTCAACATTGTGCATAATCCACTCAAGATGAATCCCTTCAAACTCATCAAAGATCTTTGTGTTGACAGGGACTCCAAAATTTATCTCAGCGTCCGGATTCTTGAGATCACTCGAACCCACAGGGAGTTCTCTAGTGGAGAGTCCCGCGACGCGCGATTTTAAGTAAACTTCGGCCGCACGGAAAGTCTGATTTTCACAAAAGTCCCATGTTTTGTCAATCACAAACGTGAAATTCGACTGGAAGTGAGAAGAGAACAATTCTGCAAATTTCTTAGTGATGTAATCTCGTAATGGTTTAGGCACAATATCGTTGAGGATTTTACGGAGGATCAAAGTGGTTGCAGATAAAGATGTGTAGAGGGCGAAAACTGTGGATATAGAAGGGACTTGGTTAAAGAGAGAAGCCATAGCTTAAGCAACAAGGAAGATGATGAAATGCTTTGGTTTAGAAGAGTATGTGTTTATATGGGGTTATAAAGAGTTTGGATTGGTGAACATAAAGAGAAACCTAGCCAACTTTTAATATTTATTTGCTTTATGAAGAAAGAAAATAAAAATCACAAACAATTGAATTTATTAACTATTAAGATATTCATAATATAATTTGAGAGTTCCTCTCATTGGAAAAGTGTCACATACAATAAAGAAGAAAGAAATAAATTTATTAAAAAAAAAACTCAAACTAAGCTAAACCTTAATGATATTTATTGGCTTCTACAAAAAATAGTATAATCCACAAAAAATATCTAAAATAAAAAAAGAATTTTTTAATACAAAATTTGGTTTTCAAAGTTAGTCATTAACAAGATTGTGTCACGTGTCAATTATCCCGATTAAATTTAGACACATGTTAATTCTAAATTTACTAAAATATATTTAAATGAAATAATTATTAGCATATGCACAAAAATATCTAAAATAAAATAAGAGTTTTTTAACACAAAATTTACTTTTCAAAGTTAGTCATTAACAAGATTGTGCCACGTGTCAATTATCCCGATTAAATGTTGACACATGTTAATTCTAAATTTACTAAAATATTTTTAAATGAAATAATTATTAGCATATCATAATAACATAAAATCAAGTAAATTAAAAATATTTTTTTTTGTATAGTAAAATAAAATATTTTAAAGGTATTAAATTTGTAACCTAATTTATTGGAAATGAAACTTCTTTGTTAATATACATCAATTATTAGATTTTAACCTGCGGTACACCATGGGGCAAGGTTTTATTTATTTATTTTTAAAACTTACTGATTTTATTGGAGTTTATTTAATAATTATCAAGATTTTATATAACTGTATTGTTTTGAAAAAATATTTAACCCATGTTTAAGTATCAAATTAGGGATAATTTAAGTTTTAGTAATATCGATTCAAACTTGTGTCATCATACTATTTTCCCATATTACTTAAAATTTTTAATATGTTTAAATAGTTTAATATTTAAATATTTATTAAGATTCACAATTTAGACTATGAATTCATAATTCAGACTTTTTATTAAGATTAACTATTTTAATTATAATCTTTTAAAGTTTATTATATATATTCGGTAATATTATTTATGGTTTCGATTTTTTGGGGTTAAATAGTTTTTGAGGCGAATCTGGTGATTATTGATTAATACATCAAATAGCAAATGAGAAGGAAACTGTTTATGGGATCGGAAGGTAGCAGATTTTTAGGATTGTAAATGTTGAAAGTTTTTGGATTTAGTAGAGTTTAGAGAGATTTTAGGAGAGTGTAGTAAAAGAATGCTTTAGCAAACAGGTTTGCATTTTTCGTCCTGTAATTGCTATGCTGACTCCTCCTGCTGTTGCTTCTTTTCAATGTCGCAGCAGGTTCTTGACATTTTTCTAGTCACCATATAGGGTATAGATCCCGGAAGCGGTTGGGAACTTGACACAGAGAGGTGGTAGGTCGACGGAACGGCTCGCATGGAATATATCCATGGAGATCCCAAGATAGCGTTGTAGATCAGAGGGGCATCAATTACTACAAACTTCACCTTCTTTGTAATGCCTCATTTACAAATCCTTTATAGAAGATAAATAAAGGAGTATAAGTGTTTTTCCTGGAAAAAAGGTAAAATAATTTTTTGTTAATCTTCTTATTTATAGAGTTTGAAATTTTTACCTTCTCACCAAATCTCAAAAGATATCAAAGCGGTATTGAATAGTTTGTTTTTGTTTTTCAATATCTATTACATATCAAATGAACTGTTGATAGCTCAAAATATATTATTTAATTTCTCAGATTTATAACATCTATATTTCTCAGTTCAGATGAGGTTTAAGAATTCTAAACTAATTAGACACAATATATGAATGTTTTATTTTAAATTTTTAATCTGATCTCTTTTTTTTCCAATTTCTCCAACACGTAACCTAATTCCCTGATTCTTATATTTTCCATATCTTACTTAATTGGGCTGAGACTGTTTTCCTTTTTTCTTTCCGTGTGTGTGTATATATATATTTGGTAAAGCCTCTTCTCCTCTGTAGTCTCTTGATATCGATTAGAGAGACAAGGCAATGTGGTTGAAAAGACAATGACAAGACAATACCTACAATATATTGATAAGGCATCGTCCCTGCTCTATTGTGGATTCATTACCACAGCCACGTTTCCTGTTACCGGAAGCATGTTCTGTTACGGTAGCTGTGACGGATTAGTTTGTATCTACAAACCGAGTGTCGTGGTGAACTCGGCTACTAAATGGTATAGGAATTTTCGTCTTTCGAATTGCCAACAGCTTCTCATCGAAAGATATCGAAGAAAAGAGTTTGACTTGTGTCCTAAGTTAGGATTTGGTAAAGATGCCGTGAAGGGCACGTTTAAGCTGGTTTGGTTATATGTAATTTGTCTCTTTCTTTGTACTGATGAGAACTATTGTTACTTAAACTTAAACATTTTCATATGTAACATATCACTATGAGTTTATGACGATTCACAGAAGATATATATATACTACTAGTGTATAATTTGTTACACCAGCATTACTGTGGAGATCCAATGGGTTGCTTAATTTTAAAGTGGGCCAAGATTGATTGAAAAACAAAGAAGAATGGCCTATAAAAAAAGAGAATCCTTGCTTCTTCATGCGTTGGAAGAATCGCATAAGAACCGCCACGTGGCTCAGTGTGATTGGAAGATGAAGAAAATAGAAAAGGGGAAAAAAATTAGTTTCCCCCATTTTCTTTCTTTCTCCCCAACACGACTCTGTCACTTTTTTCTCTCCTTCAACCGGCGAAAGGCAGAAACAATATTCATGTAGATCCCGCGAAGTTAATCCCGCGAAGTTAAACAATATTCAACATCATTCTTTCGAATTCAAATCGTTTGATTTGTTTAAAGTTATTAATGGATTGATTTGATTAATTTAATGTTAATTATATTATTTATTTTATTTTAAGTATCCCACAAGGGTTACTCTACAAATGATGGTCTTAAGCAGCCAAGTAATCACAAAGTGCCCTATTGACTATTCCTGCAGCAAAGTGGCTAGTAATTTGAACTGTGTAAAGCTTTGTTTTGGTCTTAGTAGAATCATATTCATGTGTGGAGTCTTCTCGATCTGAATGTGTTATCTGCTTTGAAAAAACTATGTGATCAAGAACATAACAATTTGTAGATTCTTGAAGTAGCTAACATAAATTTTTTTGTATAAACATGAGGATTTGTCGTAGCATTGGCGTGTGAAAGACAGTCTTTCCAGATCTACAATAGCAACTCTCATTCGCAACTTTGAACTATTGGAGATATATTGCTTCCTCTATCGAGTGCTCCATTCACAATGTCAATCTTTGGTTATCTTAACATCATTTTGAGTGAAACTAACTATACTCTTCCTTGCAAATACTTTCATATATATGACTCTAGAAATGAGTGGGCACACATAGAAGATCTACAACAAAAAATGTATATTAACACAAAATTCATGAGTTGTATATTCACATAAGGTAGTCAAAACAACTAGGTTTCGTTAAAAGAAAAAAAAAAAAGGTTTTAACATTATAACTAAGGGATCCACGAGTTGAAAAAATGGTTAGATAGACTTACCATGCCACTTGCTTTACTTAGGTATCATATTGTGACACTCTAACAGGGTAAAAATATTCATTTTGGCATGACATGCTATTAAAGATAGTTGGAACGTTTTCACGAAAACACGGTGTTCTGTGAGCCTGTCCATCTGTTTCTTCGTATTCTCGCACTAAAAAGATAGTTTGACAGATCCGCACTGAATGCACCTTCACGAGATTTTCGTGTCTGCCTCTTTTCTCATTAAAAGCATCATCACGAGATGTTTGAACATATTTCTGCACTAAATGCACTTTCACAATGCAGGGGATATAAATCTCTACGTCTAAACTTTTATCACTAAAAATGTAAGTGATATAAATATGTTTCAACACTATAACTAAGGGATCCATGAGTTAAACAAACGGTTAGATCGATCTGCCATGCCACTTGCTTTACTTAGAGCACCCCCAAATAGAGGGTTCTAAATGAGTTTTTTAAACAAAAAAAACTAAAATGAAAGAGAGAAAATAGATATGGGTTCTATAGTATTTACATTTAGCATCCATAATTTTTAAATTTAGAACCTAAAATACCATATGTCTTGTTAAAATTTGTTAGTTTTTATTTATCATTTATAATTTAATTAAATAACAAAATAAATTAAAAATATACTTTTATATTGAGTTGAATACTCCTAATTATTGGAGGTGATCTTGGATATCGTATTATGAAACTCTATTCAAAGTATAATTTGTTTTTCTTGGCATGATATGCTATTAATGATACTTGAAACGTGTCTACTAAAACACGGTTTTCTGTCAGTCTGTCTATCTCTTTCCTCCGTATTCTCGCACTAAAAGGTTATTTGGACATATCCGCACTGAATATTCACAAAATTCTCGTGTACGCATATCCTCATTAAAAGCATCGTCACGAGATGTTTTAACATATTTCTGCACTAAATGCACTTTGATGTAGGTGATATAAATCTCTACGTCTAAACTTTTATCACTAAAAATGTAGGTGATATAAGTCTCTACGTCTAAACTTTTATTACTACAAATGCAGGTGATATAAATATGTTTCAACACTATAACTAAGGGATACATGAGTTGAACAAACGGTTAGATCAATCTGCCATGCAAGTTGCTTTACTTAGAGCACATCCAATAGAGGACTCTAAATGAGTTTTTAAAGCAAAAAAAAAAACTAAAATGAAAAAGAGAAAATAGAGATGGGTTCTATAGTATTTACATTTAGAATCAATAGTTTTTATATTTAGAACCTAAAATACCATATTTCTTGTTATAATTTGTTATTTTTTTTTATCATTAAAAATTAATTAAATAACAAAATAAATTAAAAAAATATACTTTTATATTGAGTTATATACTCCTAATTATTTGAGGTGATCTTGAATATCGTACATTGTGAAACTCTATTCAAGGTATAATTTGTTTTTCTTGGCTTGATATGCTATTGAAGATAGTTGAAACATTTCCGCTAAAACACATTTTCTATCAATATGTCTATCTGTTTCATCTGTATTCTCGCACTAAAAGGTTATTTGGACATATTCGCACTGAATACACCTTCACAAGTTTTTTGTGTCGGCATAACCTTATTAAAAGCATCGTCACGAGATGTTTGAACTTATTTCTGCACTAAATGCACTTTCACAATATAGGTGATATAAATCTTTACGTCTAAAATTTAATCACTAAAAATGTAGGTGATATAAATCTGTATGTCTAAGCTTTTATCACAAAAAATGGAGGTGATATAAATATGTTTCAACACTATAACTAAGGGATCCATGAGTTGAACAAACAGTTAGATCGACTTGCCATGCAAGTTGCTTTACTTAGAACACCACTAATAGAAGATTCTAAATGAGCTTTTAACAAAAAAACTAAAATGAAAGAGAGAAAATAGAGATGGGTTCTATAGTATTTACATTTAGCATCTATAGTTTTTATATTTAGAACCTAAAAATACCATATGTCTTGTTATAATTTGTTAGTTTTTTATTTATCATTTACAATTTAATTAAATAACAAAATAAATTAAAAATATATATTTTTATAATGAGTTAAATACTCCTAATTATTGGAGGTAATCTTGGATATAATATTATGAAACTCTATTCAAGGTATAATTTGTTTTGTTTTTGCATGATATGCTATTAAAGATAGTTGAAACGTTTCCACTAAAACACGGATATCTGTAAGTCTGTCTATCTCTTTCCTCCGTATTCTCACACTAAAAGGTTATTTGGACATATCCGCATTGAATACACCTTCACAAGATATTCGTGTCCGCATATCCTCATTCAAAGCATCGTCACGAGATGTTTGAACATATTTCTGCACTAAATGCACTTTCACAATGTAGGTGATATAAATCTCTACGCTTAAAATTTTATCACTAAAAATGTAGGTGATATAAATCTCTATGTCTAAACTTTTATCACTAAAAATGCAGGTGATATAAATATGTTTTAACACTATAACTGAGGGATACATGAGTTGAACAAATGGTTAGATCGACCCGCCATGCAAGTTGCTTTACTTAGAGCACCTCCAATAGAGGATTCTAAATGAGTTTTTCAAGCAAAAAAAAACTAAAATGAAAGAGAGAAAATAGAGATGGGTTCTATAGTATTTACATTGTGAATCCATAATTTTTATATTTAGAACCTAAAATACCATATGTCTTGTTAAAAAATTTTAGTTTTTATTTATCATTTATAATTTAATTAAATAACGAAATAAATTAAAAAATATACTTTTATATTAAGTTAAATACTCTTAATTATTAGAGGTGATCTTCGATATCATATTATGAAAGTCTAGAATAATTTGTTTTTCTTGGCATGTTATGCGATTAAAGAAAGTTGTAACGTTTCAACTAAAACGGTTTTCTGTCAGTCTGTTTATCTCTTTCCTCCGTATTCTCGCACTAAAAGTTTATTTGGACATATCCGCACTGAATACACTTTCACGAGATTTTCGTGTCCGCATATCCTCAAGCATCGTCACGAGATGTTTGAACACATTTCCTTACTAAATGCACTTTCACGATGTAAGTTAGATAACATAAATCTCTACATATTAAAAAAATTATCATTCTGTGTTGAAATTTTACACTAGAAACTGTAAAAGTAATTTCACTTGATAAACCTAAAAACTGCAAAAATTTCATTTCGATAAAACTAAAAACTTCCAAAAAGAGAAAGAAAAAAAATTATCATTCCGTGTTGAAGTTTTACACGTTATATACTAATTATATCCATTGCAATTTTTTGAAACCAATTATTGCAGTTCAAATTATCAAGAGCTTACCTATTCTACTCAATTTAAAATACCAATGACACACTTAAGTAAATCTAGATTTCAACACTAAGTTGTTTATTGGTTGCTTCCCTATACGTTTTAGTGCCACCTATACCTAAGTTACATTATAGTTTGTTCAAACATTTTCATTAGCTCTCATTCGATTTTTCTTTTTTTTTTTCTAAATCTTTGTCCTATCGATAAGGGTCGGACCATGTGAGAGCCTTTGGAGTATTCTAACAATTCGCTTGTACACACATCCAAATAATTCAAAAGAGATCAGAAGAGGACACAAGTAAAAATAAAGACAAAAGTGTTTGGAACATGAAGGCCGCAAGGTCCTGTGAGGGTCCGTGAGAGAGGACACATGGCCAACGTGAAGTTTACTCAATACATTACAACGTAACAAAAATGTGTCGTGACATGTTTTATATTTCAGATTGCGATAACGACAAATCAAATTTTTTATTTTCTTTTCTTTGGAATCAATTCGATTATAATCCTTATGTCGGGTTTTTGAACGACAAATTTTTTTTGTAAATCAAGTGTTAAATTAGTTTAAAGGTTGTGTAGTAGTATAATAATACTAGGCTAGTAGTAGTATTAAATTTATGGTTCGTATCTTTGTGTGAATTGTCTCATCGTATTTATATAGAAAGCTATAGCAATAGCTCTCCATGATACCTACTACTACTATTATATCCTCCAATTATATAAACAACCTAACAAAAAGTAGTGACCACCTAACTCATAAAACTTGTAATTCTAAACGTTTCGAATGCATACATACATAAGAGGCTTGATGTGGTTTAAAATTGGACTGATGAGAACAATTTAAACGTGTATATTTTAGGTTAAAAAAAAATTATATTCTCAATAAAACTTTTTAATTTATAGTGAAAGTATCAGGTAATTAAATTTTAATTGCTTGTGTTTAACCTAATATCCATATTATCTATCGCCTTATTTTATGAAAATTTTTGGTATATAATTTATATATTTTTTTCGAATCTTTGGTTTCTATTTATTATTTGTAATTGTATGTTCTATTAGTCGATATGGATATATGTCGTGTGAATAATTGTTAGCGAAAAAAAAAATTGAAGAAAAATTTCAAAAAAATATAAAACGCTAAAAAACTAATTTTAGTAGATTAATGATGTTTTGTATTTTCCAATTAGATTATAATTAATACGATATTGGTAAAAGCGGAAACACTTTTCCAAAATGTGAAAATTTATTTAATATTTTAAATAGTAATAAATGGTATTTTAGATTTTAAAACATGATAATTAGTATATTATTGATCTTCTATCTTTACAAAAAAATATAGTGAATATAATATTGTAATGTAAATAAAACGCAAAATACAATGTAAATTTTTGGAGATGAAGTATTAATATAAGTCAAAAATAAGATTAATATTGTAACAATGTTTATTCATATAAAATTCTTGAGTGTAAAGAAGTATTCAAGTATACACACCCAAAAACAAAAGTTAGTGCCAAGCATTACATATAACAAATGAAAACACCTTACACTTACTAATATCTTTGCTTATAAACATTGGATTATTATTATTATTTTGGCAGTGTGTATGATTAAACAAAATGGAATATAAAAAAAAAAATATTGGAAGCAAGTACAATTGTTGATATAAAGTAACCATGGTTAACTCAAGAACCTGAAAAGGCTGAGATAGACTTAAACTAGATTGACTAACCATAGTTAAATGCTTCTCTGGTTAAAAGTCTTTTGATATTTGCTTTGCTATATATTAAACAACAATTGGAACCTCCTCTTGTATCAAAAACACACAACACTTTCTCTCAGATTCCATCACTACTTTTTCACACCAGAGAAAACTCACAAAAGACTCCATCTTTACTCTGAATTCTTGATCATCGCCTTCTCTTACTTGACTCTTGAGGTTCGTAGTTTCATCTCTTTTCACTAAAGTTTCGATTTTTACCCAACCTTTGATTGGTTGTTTATGGTTTTGATTGATGTTTTAGAGTTGTAAAGATTTCAAATTGTTCTTGTTTCTTTCATAAAGTTTGAATCTTTAAGAGGTTTTTGATCTTTGTTTCTTGATTTAAGGTCAAGATATTGTGTGTGGTATGAGGTAGACTCGTCTGTGGAACTAATTGAACGAAGATTCTTGAACCCTTTTGAGACTGATTTGTGTTTTCTGGGTTTGAGGCCACCTCGAAAGATTTTAGTCAATCAACTTGATAAAGCTTTGTGCTTTGGTTTTGGTTTTTGGTTTAAGATTTAGAGTTAAGTCTGTTTCTGGATCAAGATCATTATATGAGACCTTTAACTGTCTTGCTTGCTGATACTAAGCATTGATTGACATTGAAATCTATGTGCTTTAGTTGGAATGCCTTAGATTTTCAGTTTATATCATGAGTCTTCTTCTGGTGTGTGCTGATTTGTCCATAATGGTGTTTTTACAGATCATATACCTTGGACCGACAAAGATTGGATCAAGATTTACATCGAATCCAGAGCAAACCTGTTGTTAGCAGTTCAAGAATCGAAAGATGGGTCTATCAAGTCTTCCTGGTCCATCAGAAGGAATGCTCTGTGTGATATTAGTTAACACAGCATTATCAATCTCCATTGTCAAAGGCATTGTCCGATCAGTCCTTGGCATAGTAGGAATCCGTCTCTCGCCTCCTTCGTCCTCGCCTTCCTCTGTGACGACGTCTTTAGAGAATCCAACTTCAGAGCCTTTTGATTTCCGGGTCTGCCAGCCAGAGAGTTTCCTTGAGGAATTCAGGAACAAGACTCCTACACTGAGGTTTGAGAGCTTGTGCAGGTGCAAGAAACAGGCGGACAACGAGTGCTCGGTGTGCCTTTCGAAATTCGAAGGGGATTCAGAGATCAACAAGCTAAAGTGTGGCCACTTGTTTCACAAAACATGCTTGGAGAAATGGATAGACTATTGGAACATCACTTGCCCATTGTGTAGGACTCCTCTTGTTGTTGTAGCAGAAGACCACCAGCTTTCTCCTTCTACTGTTTGGTGACTGCTTTTCACTGTATAGAGGGTTTTTGTTTGTTTGGGTGTGTTTGATGTGTACAGCTATTTTACTATGAATTAGGCTTGCGTCACGGTTGATTCTCGACCGGGGATGGGTAATCTTATGTACATATCCTGTGAGTTATATATATACCCATGTGTAATGGAGCTCTTGTTTGAACATAATTTTCATGAATCTATGTGTATGTGTGGATTGAGAACTCATGTTTACAAACTCATATGAGCAATTAAGCTATTCAAATAGTAAGATTGGATTATAGTCTCTTTTATAAGTTACATTCTTCAAACCAAAAAAGGTACAAAAGTGCAAGAAAGAGAGTTATTTTGAATATGCATGTGGTGGTGGGGTGGAGGATGACCCGGGTTTCGGGGCGTAAATTTGTAGAGTTTTCCTTGTTTCATGGCCTAAATTGATATAGTAAAAGAAGGGTTAAAAAGTGAATTTTTCCCTATTTCATGGCTTAAATTGATATAGTAAAAAGAGGGTTAAAAAGTGATGGACGTGTGTAGGGTGGATAATAGAAGTTGCAATTAACAGTGAAGATCATTTGGAGCTCAAAGGCAATGAAGAATCGTGTAAAAAGAAAGCATAACGTATATGGATCCTTCTATTTCATGGCCTAAATTTATATTGTAAGAGAAGGGTTAAGAAATGATGGACACTTGGATGATAGAGAATAGAAGTTGCGATCAACAATGGATCTCAAAGGTAGTGAAGAATCGTGTGAAAAGAAAGCAATACATATATGGATCTACCTAATTCATGGTGTTGATATAGTATAAGGAGGGTTAAGAAGTGATGAAAGCGTGGAAGATGAGAAATAGAAGTTGCGATTAGTCGTGGATATCATGTAGAGCTCAAAGATAATGGAGAATGGTGAAAAAGGAAAACATAAATATATATATATAGATCTCCCTATTTCATGGTCTAAATTAATATAGTAAAAGGAGGGTTAAGAAGTGATGGACACGTGGGGGTGGAGAATAGAAGTTACGATCAACAGTGGAGATCATCTGAAGCTCAAAGGCAGTGAAGAATCTTGTGAAAGAAAGAAAAAAATATTTGGATCTTCCTATTTCATGACGTAAATTGATATAGTAAAAAAAAGGTTAAGAAATGATGGACACGTGGAGGGTGGAGAATAGAAGTTACAATCAACAGTGAAGATAATCTGGAGCTCAAAGGCAGTGAAGAATCTTGTGAAAAAAAGAAAAAAATATATGGATCTCCCTATTTCATGGTGTAAATTGATATAGAAAAATAAGTGTTAAGAAGTGATGGACACATGGAGGGTGGAGAATAGAAGTTACGATCAAAAGTGGAGATCATCTAGAGCTCAAAGGCAGTGAAGAATCTTGTGAAAGAAAGAAAAAATATATGGATCTCCCTATTTCATGGCGTAAATTGATATAGAAAAATAAGGGTTAAGAAGTAATGGTCACGTGGAGGGTGGAGAATAGAAGTTACGATCAATAGTGGAGATCATATGGAGCTCAAAGGCAGTGAAAAATCTTGTGAAAGAAAAAAATATATATATGGATCTCCCTATTTCATGGCGTAAATTTATATTGAAAATAAGGGTTAAGAGGTGATGGACACGTGGAGGGTGGAGAATAGAAGTTACGATCAACAGTGGAGATCATCTGGAGCTCAAAAGCAGTGAAGAATCTTGTGAAAGAAAGAAAAAAAGTATATGGATCTCCATATTTCATGGCGTAAATTGATATAGAAAAATAAGGGTTAAGAAGTGATGGACACGTGGAGGGTGGAGAATAGAAGTTACGATCAACAGTGGAGATCATCTGAAGCTCAAAGGCAGTAAAGAATCTTGTGAAAGAAAGAAAAAAACATATGGATCTCTTTATTTCATGGCGTAAATTGAAATAGAAAAATAAGGGTTAAGAGGTGATGGACACGTGGAGGGTGGAGAATAGAAGTTACGATCAACAGTGGAGATCATCTAAAGCTCAAATGCAGTGAAGAATTTTGTGAAAAAAAGAAAAAATATATATGGATCTCCTTATTTCATGGCATAAATTGATATAGAAAAAGAAGGGTTAAGAAGTGATGGACACGTGGAGGGTGGAAAATAGAAGTTACGATTAATAGTGGAGATCATCTGGAGCTCACAGATAGTGAAGAATCTTGTGAAAGAAAGAAAAAAATATATGGATCTCCCTATTTCATGGCGTAAATTGATATAGAAAAATAAGGGTTAAGAAGTAAAGGACACGTGGAGGGTGGAGGGTGGAGAATAGAAGTTACGATCAATAGTCGAGATCATATGGAGCTCAAAGGCAGTGAAGAATCTTGTGAAAGAAAGAAAAAATATATGGATCTCCCTATTTCATGGCGTAAATTGATATAGAAAAATAAGGGTTAAGAAGTAATGGACACGTGGAGGGTGGAGAATAGAAGTTACGATCAACAGTGGAGATCATCTGTAGCTCAAAAGCAGTGAAAAATCTTGTGAAAGAAAAAAAAGTATATGGATCTCCGTATTTCATGGCGTAAATTGATATAGAAAAATAAGGGTTAAGAAGTGATGGACACGTGGAGGGTGGAGAATAGAAGTTACGATCAACAGTGGAGATCATATGGAGCTCAAAGGCAGTGAAGAATCTTGTGAATGAAAGAAAAAAAAACATATAGATCTCCCTATTTCATGGCGTAAATTGATATAGAAAAATAAGGGTTAAGAGGTGATGGACACGTGGAGGGTGGAGAATAGAAGTTACGATCAACAGTGGAGATCATCTGGAGCTCAAAGGCAGTGAAGAATCTTGTGAAAGAAAGAAAAAAATATATGGATCTCATTATTTCATGCCGTAAATTGATATAGAAAAAGAAGGGTTAAGAAGTGATGGACACGTGGAGGGTGGAGAATAGAAGTTACGATCAACAGTGGAGATCATCTGGAGTTTAAAGGCAGTGAAGAATCTTTTCACAAGAAAGAAAAATATATATGGATCTCCCTATTTCATGGCGTAAATTTGATATAGTAAAAGAAGGGTTAAGAAGTGATGAATGCGTGGAGGGTGGGAAATAGAAGTTGCGATCAGTAGTGGAAATCATATGGAGCTCAAAGGTCGTGAAGAATCTTGTGAAATGAAAGCAAACATGTATGGATCATTCATGTGATTTGTGTTAAATATGTTATCTTATGATTCTTCATTTGTTCTCTGTTAGTTTTGAGATTTCTCTGTGAATTCTTTTGGTTATTTCCTCATTGTAGTTTAAACTATTTCTTATTCTATAATCTAGTAATTTGAGAAGTAAATCCTTCTTTAATGAACATTGGTTCATTCCATCGTTTGATTTTTTCTTGATAGAGAAATTGAAGTCGATTTGTAAAATATAATTTCAAAGGGTTTACAGTTTTCAGGGTGTAAATTTGTTGAGATTTCTCTGTTTCAAGGCGTAAATTTGTAAGGATTTCCAAATTCCAGATTATGTGACGTAAATTTGTAAGAAAATTTGTAAGGATTTCCAAATTTCCAGATTTTGTGACGTAAATTTGTAAGAATTTTCAGATTTTATGTGTAAATTTGTAAAGGTTTCCCAGTTTCATGGCGTAAATTTGTAAGGGTTTCCATGTTCGAGAATGTTGGACGTAAATTTGTAGAGATATCCTAAGTTGACGTAAGTTCGAAAAGGTTTGAACCATGTATACTCGTGAGATTTGAAGGTGTTGTGTAACTGAAATCATATTTGACAAAGACAATAATTTTTCCTAAGGACTTGTCTTGCAAATTGGGAAAGATAAGATAAGAACATTACTACATTAGTCTACATAGTCAATAAGGTCCCATGACCAAGATCTAGAATAGGTAGGTTCAATGTAAGATATTTATAAAAGATGGGATAAGAGTGGCCTACACCACTTTCACCTGTTTACATTGTGTCACAGGTGTCGCACAATTTACCAACTCAATTTTTGGGACTCATAAGTGTCCTTTAGTAAATGATTTGTCGATTGATAAATAGCCAATACTTTTGATACATTAACACACAAACAGAGAAACAAATCAAACAATCATAGTTTATATGACAATCACACATCAACTAATCAACTAATGTGTGAGACCAAACTAATGTTAGGTAACCTGTACGTTAAGACTCAAGACGAGGAAGACTGCTTGACGTTACATAGACTTCATCCTCGGATTTGATGTTCTTCATAGCCTCCAAAGAGGGAGTCACATGGCACCCAAAAGGATTAAGGCACAGAAATCAACTGCTACCTTGGACGACAGTGTATACAAAACTCAAGACTTTGGTTAAAAGATTTAAAAGGGCAAAAGGTTACTAGACTACTACTAGTACTAGAAGTAGTAGCCCTTGTGCCATATTTACAAAAAAAAAAAACAAAACCAGCAAAATGTGAAGTGTTATGAAATTAGATAGACATCATCTCCTTTGTGATTGCAACACTTTGGAAATGCAACGGCAGAGTCTCAATATCCGAGGATATCCCAATCCAACATCGTCCATTGCAGATTCTATCTCGTTCTTCAGTTCTTTCGACGCAACGACATCTCCTTCACGTAACTCGCAAGGAACTACGTCACTAGGATACTTCCCACTGTTACATAGAGAACACACACAATTTCATAACCGAAAAGCCTTTAAAACTTGATAGTTTACTGCGCTGCTTATTTACTTACTGGATCAAACATGCCAAATCGAGAACCACAATTAGTTTTCTCACGTTTGTGCAGTCAAGAAAGCTAATCTGCAACTGAAGCTGCTCCGCTGCAATCAATAAGACACTAGTGTTCGTATCTCAGATAGACCTAATCATTAGATGATTGTGCATGTGTTGGCCACTAGTTGTTAAACTAGTATGACCAACAGGGAATTGAGAGGAGGAAATAAGTTACCTGATGGAGAATTAAAGTGTCCTTGGACCAAATTTGGTATATTCATTTGAGCTAAATGAAATTCCTCAGCCACATCTAGCAGATTGTGTAGGAGCAAACTGGTTTTCTGCATTCTCAGAGCAAAATGAGACAAATTTCAGAGGTCTAGTCTAGCACAAAATAAATCCAGAGAAAGTGATTCTTATAAAGGAACTTACAACACTAAGGAGAAAGCAAACATGACTTGCAACAAAATTCTCAATAAGATAGAAAAATACCTAAGATGCTATGATAGTATTAAGAGAACCATAGCAACAAAAGGAGATGGTTGAGACAGAAACACACCTGTGTAATCTCCAACAATATATTGGAGCAACCAATGCACTTTTGGGAGTCTTCAGCTTTAAACAAAGAGTTTAATGCAATTGAAACATTCGTCTCTGGGAAATGCTGAAGAAGAATGCCTTGATTAGAAACAAAAGAAAGATGATGTATAAATGGAAGGAAAACAGCTTGGTTACCCTTACCTTAACAAGTGTATCACTCAAACTGTTTGAAACTAGTACACATGAAGGATGGCCAGGCTTTAATGTGAGCCTGCGTATCCAAGAAATTTTTCAATAAAATCCAATAGCACTCATGTATGTAGCAAAGTGTGGAAACAGATTAATCAAAAAACTTATGGAAAGATAAAACCAATAGGACCAACCTTTGGTTGAAAAGGCCACTATAGTTTAGAACAATGCTTTGACAATCATTCCATTCACCCAAACTGTCAACTTTCCAGACCTGCCGAGAGCAGAAGGGTAATTTAAGTTAAGAAACACATTTCGTTTTAGATCCCCATGTCTATAAATATAAGACAGTATATACCAGAATATCCTGACGTATGGATCTGCAACTCGTTCTCTTTTTTAAAGTATCTTCAGCAATCATAATAATGTCTGCATATGCCGGTTCTTCTGTCATTGTGTCGAACGTCGTAAAACATTGAACCAAATTCTTTATTTTTGAGTCCAATTCTTTGATCTCCTGTGTTATCTCTCCCCGTTTACTAGTAATCATAGCCTAGAAAAATGTCGACAGATAACGAGTCTATTATTTACTTGGATTAAAACGAGTTTCAAATACACGAAAATAGCGTTACTAATAAGATAAAGCATAGGATACATCTCTTATCTACAAAATATCATGAGACCCTGTGGACAGAACATTATATCTGCGAACTAACAAAATATTTTTTTCTGCCATTAGAGTGAAAGGGTCATCACCCTGAAAAATGTTCCATGCGTACTAAAAAAACAATTTGAGCCTGTGAAAGAGTTAACATGTCCTAATTATTGAAATTGGGAAGACTAGACACACCAACACATTTCTGTAATGGGTATTTCAAACTGGTCTAGTTACCTCATCAGCGTGGTTAGGATTTAACAAGCCAGTAGAACGGAAACCATGTTGACGTAGAAAGTTGGCACAATTCAACCTCAGTGTTTCGGATGTCTGTACACCATTGCTCACTGCTTGAAACTTTTTCTGCATACCATATAAGTGAAATTTGATCAAGCAAGCAGAATCAATAGAAAGTTTGAAATAGAGGAACACATTAAGTAATTAACTACCATCATTATCTCTTTCTTGAGGTGCAGCAACTCAAGTTTGGCTTTTTCGTATGCTAACTTGCAGAGTAATGATCTACTCTCAGCATGCCTGCAATAATAATCACAATGAATGTTATACACTTGGCACTAATTTACTCTGAAAAATATATAAAGGCAGTACAGGGAGAACCTCTTTATCTTGGCACCACTCAAGTCGTCAGATACTTTCTACAATTAGAACAAGATAATCAGTGTACAATTATGTCGAAAGAATGATCGCAGAAGTTTTCTTATAGGCTAACCTGAGATTGAATTTGAAGACAAAGCATCTCACACAAATGAACCTTCTTCATGTGTGTTAATATATCTTCCAGCTTACATATCTGCAATTTTGGAACATTAGTACTGAAACTATAAAAGTTAGAAGGAAACAGCCTCAGTAACCAGCTTGGGTTTCCATAAAGAGAGAAATAATATACCATTCTTGGGTTCAGCTTAACAGCCAATGGATCAAGCATTTGATTGATTTCTTCTGATACTTTTCCTGGAATCTGCAAGGTAGTGGAACACTAACTTATTTGTATGAAGAAAAGTGGAACTAACTACATCTAATAGCATAATAGGTTATCACAAATACTTACTTCTACCCGGTTCATCACTTGTCTACGAATTCTGCCGCAATTATTAGCATTGATGTTTCCATCTGGGTGGTCCATCACTGTATTTGAAATATAGTGTGTACTTCTCCTGACTTTGGGGCTACAATTTCTAGCTGCACAATCAACATCTTCTGTTTTCCTTTTCAATCTGGATGATCCCTGTAAATTAATATAGTTCAGAAATCTGGCTAAACATCAAATTATATCATCATACCCTTTGGATAGCTTCGAAATATGATAGTTTTTCTCCAGCATTTAATTTCTCAAGATCTATGATGTATCTGAGTTAAAACATTTAATCTGAATGACCTGGTTCAGCTGTTAGAGTAAAAAGCCAATTTAGAAATTTACAACCATTTCAAGGATCAAGAATATCTTTTCACATTGAAAAATGGAGTAATGCATTTAAACCGTGGATAGATAGTTCTTCAAAACATGTACATGGGTCTAGAATTATACCTTAACATGCAAAGCCTCATTCTTGCTATTGTCCGTAGATGAAGAGCCAGGGATATTAGGAGGGGTTTCTGTAACTACAGAAGGAACATCCTCAGCTGAGATCACTTCTGTTTCACAATGGACTGTAAAGTGATTATCATCCTTCAGAAGGAACTGGGCAGCACTTATGTTGGTTCTGTTTTGATTTTTATTCAGCATACTGTCCTTCTCATTTTGTTTAGCAGAGCCATTCAAGAAGCCTGTCTCACTAAGTAATACGCCAGATTCTACAAGCAGTGAATCAACTTTGCCGGATAAGGTATTCAAAGAATTATTACTAGCATATTCCTTGGTCACATTTCCATCCCCAATCTCAGATTTTTCGGTGGCTTTACTGTGCTGCTCTTGATCTTGAAGAGTGACAAAATTCTTTGATGCTGACGTCATTACATTTGATGAATTTGTTAGAGATGACACAAACTTCCCAGGGGTGCTGGCTGTCTGATTTCTTTTCTGTTGTTTGAAGAATGAACCTTCTACCTCAGAATTAGTATTTCCTTTTGGACTTCTGCTTGCAAACACATTACTTATGTCGGCAGCAGACTTCAATGCACCACAACCATATTGATCTGGTACGCCTTTCCTTTCAGAAATTGGTGTTCTATCATCGCTAGTGTCAGCAGCAGGGCTTAATGCACCACTACTGCATTGATCTAGCATGACTTTCTTTTCTGAAACTGGTATTCTATTATCACCCCTAGTGTCAACAGCAGGTCTCAGTGCATCGCTACTGCACTGATCTGGCGTGCCCTTCTCTTCTAAAACTGGTGTTCTATTGTCATCGCCAGGGTCGACAACAGGGCTCAGTGCACCATTACTGCATTGATCTGGCATGCCCTTCTTTTCTGAAAGTGGTGTTCTATTATCATCACCAGTGTCGACAACAGGGCTCAATGCACCACTACTGCATTTATCTGGCATGCCTTTCTTTTCTGAAACTGATGTTCTATTATCATCGCCAGTGTCGACAACAGGGCTCGATGCACCACTACGGCATTGATCTGACATGCCCTTCTTTTCTGAAAGTGGTGTTCTATTATCATCACCAGTATCGACGACAGGGCTCAACGCACCACTACTGCATTTATCTGGCATGCCTTTCTTTTCTGAAACTCGTGTTCTATTGTCATCGACAGTGTCGATAACAGGGCTCAATGCACCACTACTGCATTGATCTGGCATGCCTTTCTTTTCTGAAACTGGTGTTCTATTATTATCGCCAGTGTCGACAACAGGGCTCAGTGCACCACTACCGCATTTATTTGGCATGCCTTTCTTCTCAGAAATTGGTGTTCTATTATCATGTTTAGATAACAAACCCTCCAAATTGGTAATGGGTATATCTGCATTAATTTTCGTGTGAACACCTACTTCCCTGCCAAAAGTTGATGGTGTAGTCATAGAACGGTGTCCGGATAATTGAAGCTTTGATTTCTCAATTCTTTGAGAAAGAGCAGAACCAGGGGAGGGTGGAATTAATCCAAGTCTCGATTTGCTTTTCTGAATAGTTGACAAGCTCTCAACTAGTGCCCGAGTTTCTTTGCTCATAAAGCTTCCACCCTGTTTAGGGGAAGGAGTAACACAAGATACGGACTGGGGCAATATACCAACTGAAAACGCACTTTGCCTTCTAACAGTTGACGAGGAAAGAGAACCATCTTTTGTGTAATGTTGGCTTTCTGGTTCCTGCAGCACTATTTGAGGGCGACAGCCAGAACCAGAAGGTGACAGGATTTGACAAGCACCACTGCTATCTATACCATGTGAGTCTTTATTAGCTTGAACTACGGGAATATGTCCATTTTGAGGGGACAAGGAAAAATCATGGATGGGCGATCTTGCTTCCACAGTACAGTCTTCAGGAAGCAATTCCTTGCTTTTTGCCAATAGAGCTTCTAATGTAGGAGATATATACCCAAAATCATATTTTCGAGAATTTTCACCCACGATACTCATATCATTCGAGTCTCTACCACCACTTTCTTTCTCAGCAGGTAGAGGAGACTTCAGGAATAGCTTCTTAGATTTTGTCAACAACACCATTGCACTTCCTGTATCAGACCTGGAGGTAACCTCAGTTGGTGTTTTTTCTTCTACTGGAAGATGACTGCTTGTTGGTGTCCTTGCATCTCCAAAGTCTGACCTCGCAAGACTCCGAAAATGCATTGAAAATGCTGTAGAGTCCATCGTAATATCATGGTGGTCTTCAGAGATAGGAGTATTTGACAATCTTCCAGGATTGATAAATTGGGAAGACACAGGGCCAAAGAAACTATCCTCTGATATATATAAAAAAAATACCAAATCGATTCAGCTACATGAGTAACAACAACGAATCCCTAAATTCACAAAGTACAAAACTTTATCTTCTCTTCAATTGCAACATTCAAAATCAAAGTAATGGAGAATGAAATTGAAGCGTACCATCATCACTAGTAGCAGACCCAACAGTGCTACCTCCCGAAGATGGCGAGAACTTCGGCCTCAAGAACGATTTCTGCAAAATAGGCTCATCTTCACCATCACCATCTCCTTCAGTGTCTTCGCGGTCAGATAATTCGCCGAAAAACCTAATTACTTTATCCTCAGACTCTGACGTATCAGCTCGTTCACCGTTCTGCTGTTCCGCGGCGGCGGCGTTTGGCGGCGTCTCGTAATCTTCGTCCCGGTTGAAAATGTGGACGGAAGTAATTTCCCGGTCGGCGAAGCTAACTCGCCGTAGTCGCTTCCGGCGCTGTGCTATAGACTCCTCGTCCGTTCCCATTCCGGCCGTGTTGTTCATCGGATCTTCAGGCTTTCCCGACGCCATTGGGTAGAAAGGATTTGGGGAAAGTTTCGAATTTTAGGGTTTTTGAAAATTGAAATTATTTTCTGAAATATTATTGTGCGGGAAATTGCAGATATTTTTGTTTTTTTTAAAATTGTTTGTGAATCAAATTGAAACAAAAAAAAAATTTGTATTTAATATAGCATAATATTAATTTTTGGTAAATATGTTTTTTTTTTCTCTAAGATTCAAATATATGGGATCTTTATCATCTTAGTTGATGTAGACTGACATTTATTTCAAAAAAAAAAATTTGGTTCTAAAATAACACTTATTTAAAAACGGAGAAAGTAATACTTAAATATAAAATATTTAAAAATTTCATTATTTTGAATATTTTAAAATTTCATTATTGTGAATATTTTTAAGTTTAATTTTTCTTAAAAAGTTATATGAACATTTTACTTGACTAAAAGCTAAAATATATCTAATATTTTAATTTATTTTAATATTAAAATAAATATCGAGTATTTTAATGTACTATAAATTCCTATGTGTTTGGTGATGTAAATGTGACCATTTTAAAATGTTATACTATTACAAAAATTATCTCACTTGTTAGAAGAAATAATGGTACCAATTTGCGTCATGTATATAAACGCCAAATTTATACTAGGGGAAAGCTCTCTCTCGCTTAACTCTCTCGTATCTTTTAGACAGAGAGAGCTTCTCTTCCGATTTTGATCAGATTGTATTATAGTGTTTTGTTTTTTTGTCTTTCCGAATCAAATCTAAGATTTTTGGCTTGGGTTTCAAGGACTTAATGTTGATTATCTTTTGTATTTGTTCGGATAATAAGTTTCCGACTTGTTCAGATATGTTTCTCTCTTCTTCTACATGTTTAAATTTCAATCTCGGGGCTATTTGACATATTTTCTTTGTTTATCCATTAGCTCAACTCTTCTTGTAAGTAGGATTAATATATCCACCGATTGTCATGAATAAAAGACACGAAAGGCCTATGATTTAGGTCCGAGGCGAACCTTACTTCTATAAAATCTGTTTGAGATATAGAAGATTTGCAAAATCTTCTTAAAGATATTCAAGACGGAATCATTGACTTTCTCTCAGAGTAGCAACGGTTGAAGTTGTAGAAGAAGTGTGGTGGTGGATCTGAAGTCCGGCGGCGGAGCTGCGCTTGATTGTGGATTTGGTCGGTGTTGTTCGTGTTATCTGTGTGGTGGTGGATCTGAAGTCCGGCGGCGGAGCTGCGCTTGATTGTGGATTTGGTCGGTGTTGTTCGTGTTATCTCTCCTCCTTATCACGTGTGGACACGTATACTCATGTGGCACTTTAATCTCTTGTCCTTATCTTAAATTAGGTAGGATAAGTGGGCTTTGTTTTTAATAAAGTTGTAAATGTTGGAGGATTTGGACTTCTATTTCCATAATGTGTACTGCCAATTGGGTTTTTATTTGGAAAAAAGATGGCTATAGAAGAATGCATGGTCACACATGCCAAATATCCTATTGTACATTCAGCTACACGAATTAGATGTATTGCATGACCACATGCATCAACTTTATAACGACATGTAGTCAACCATAGACATTAAATTCTGGTACACCGGTCAACTGATTTTTGCGTTGACCGGTGAATCAGTTGACCAGTGTTGACTCCGGCATTAACCGTTTCTGACCAAAAAAAAAAATCAAGATGTTATCCAAATTTTATTCACATACAGTATATATATAACAATTTCATCTTATGAATGTTTTTTGTTTTTTTGTAATATGTCATCTATATTAACATTTTTGAATATATTGCAATTTGAATTTTTGAAAACGGACGTATATTACTTAAACGATACAAAAATGTATGTACTAAAATATTATTGATAATTGTGTAGCACGGGTCATGTGATGTAGCGGGTCATGTGATGTAGCGGGTCATGTCATGTTATGCCAACATTATTTCATTATTTTGAATATTGGACTTATTTAGTTAGGTTGATCAAATGACTATTATTAGAAAAGAAAAAGGAAAAAAACAAATTGTCATGAAATGTTACACGGGTTAAATCATATAATTAACAATCAAAATACAGTAATACAATGTTTTTTTGTCAGCTTGCCTATAGTACAATCTTATATAACCAACCAAATTAATAACAAAAAAAATATTTGAAAATATCTTATCGCGGGTTAAAATCTAGTTAGCTTTTATTATTTGTGTCTCTTTATCATAATTTTTGCTTTATCTTATGTTTAAGGAACATGCAGAGGTGGCTACTCACACTAGCGAATCCGAGCAATTCATTTTTATTTTTAACTACTTCAAAATTATTATAATTTATTTAAATTAAAAATGAATAAATCTAGGGAAATTTTCAAAAAAATATCCCTTTTCAAATACCACTTTTTAAAAATACCTCATTTTCAAACTTTATCAAAAAAACCACTAAAACTGTTGAAATTTATCCAAATATGTTTGTAAGCTTATAGATATACAATTACTTTTGTATGTGTCAAAATTTTTATATATCTTTCATATATAGCAAAAAATAAATTTTTAAAACCTTATAAACCCTTTAAAAAAAATTAAAACCTTGTAAAACTTGTAAAAACGATTTAAAACCTTTTAAAACATTATAAAATATTTGTACCGAAACTCTTAGTAGTAGTTCTTATATAGAAGTACCTTATAAACCATATAAAACTTTATAATTTTTCATATTTAAACAAGAGTATTTTTAAAAATGGATACATAAAATGAGTATTTTTGAAAAGGGATTCACCAAAAGGGATACACCGAAAGTGATATTTCTCAAAAATTCTCATAAATCTACCGATATGATAATTTGAGTTTTATCAAAGACACCTCAACTGAAATTACAAAACTAAACATCAATGTAAACCAAAATGATTAGATAAAATGATTTAACATAAATTCAAAAACAAAGAAACACAAACTTAAAAAAAAATAACAAGGTCCATAATTTCTTAACCAGACAAACAAACATAACCTCAAAAACTTAATACTAAAACTTAAACATGTAGTAACACCAAGAAGTCTACATATGATTATTGTTGATGTGTGGCCAAACCTTATTCATATCAAACAGCGTCACATCATCATTATCTTCCTCATTAGGTGGTGGCAGCTCTTCATGACTCATGAAATTAAAAGGGTTTTGGATTGGTTGACTTATAGCCACAGCTGCATTATCATCTACGTTATGGTTTTGTAAAGGTTGAGAGACTGACCCAAACAAACCATGGAAAGTTATCATCGAGGTTCCAACAGGCTCCATCTCCATATTAGCGGTTTCACTGATACTATTGTTGTAACATACTGCACCCATCTGGATTTGTTGGTGGATTCTTGGATTTGGCTGTTGAGGAGATGGGAAAAACCATTGATCTATCAAGTAATGACTTTGATTCTCCTTTATTGCATTACCAATGCTAATCATATTCTCAGCTTCATCAGTCTTCCAAGCTCTCTCATCTTCTTGACCGCTTCTTACAAAAACATCATTTGTGGTGGTGGTGGTCGTAAACTCCTCAAATTGTGGTTGCACCGGTGGATCTTGAAGCAGAGGATATTGCGCGAAACCTAGCATTTTCCTATAAAGTATGATATTATCCCTTAAGAAAGATATCAAATCATAGATCTCACTTAAGTTAAGATCATGAATACCACCTCCACGATGTAGTTTCACCATCAAGTGATCAATGGCATAACTAATGTTCTTCTTACGAGTCTTCATGATTTGTTCATGGACCTTCTTTATCTTCTCCTTCATGAATGACTCGAGACTTGTTTGTTTCTTCGTCTTCTCGACCTCCGACAAGGCATTGAAATCGGCTAGGAGGCCACGAGCCTTCTCAGCAGATGGCCACACCATTGGCTCAGCCTCGTTAGGGCTGAACATGATCATGCATACATTTATACTACACAATATTGTTAGCTCTTTTAGTTTTTTCACTAACCCTTCCTTCCTTCTCTTCAAACATATTGTTCTTGCGTTGGCATTTTCTATCCATGCAAGTTTTATCGCTTTTCTTGTCATGGTCACTCTTTGATTTTGATTTCTCTCTTTTTTTTTTTGCTGTGTTTGTGGAGAAAATATAATGAACAGATTTATTTAAATAGAGCTTAGGTAAAGAGATAAGATCTTCAACATTAGTGCTGGTCAAACTAATATAGACCAATACTAAAAACTGGATTGAGCCACAATCTCTATATGGTTGTGGTGTTCTATGGACTTTAACTCTTTGCACATAAAAATTGAATTTACTTCCAAATATATAGAAGAATAATACAAATTTGTGGTAGTAGTCAATATACCAAAATAATGATTTACCCAATAATTCTATTAATAATTAATGCTATAAATATATTGACCATTTTGTTGACCAAAAAAAAAATATATTGATCACATTCCTTTTACTCCTTTCACTATTGTGCATCATATTAAATCTTTTGACATACTTTTTAGGAAATTAAATGTTGACTATACATTTCCTTTTTTTACTATTAAAATTTGTAATGACATTTTTTTTTGTCAACTGGTAAAATTTTATCTTATCAAATTTTAATCCTAATTCGTAAAATAGCACGAATTCTTAATTCACAAGAGTTAAAGCAATATGTACGATTAGGAGTGTCAAAATGGATAACCCAACTCAACTCCATTACCTAATGAGTTTAGAGTTAAATGGGTAATGTGTTGATTCAACTCATTTGTTTAAATAATTTGAGTCAACCCATAAACTCATTTAATCTCATGAGTGAAATCGTTAAATGAGTTGACTCATTAATGTTAATAGTTAATTAATTAAATATTTTTATTAATAAATAAATAATTATGATCATCATATATCATCATTATATACTATCATACCATCATTATCAATTCATCATACAATCACCACCGTACGTTGAATTATAGAGAACTAGTTTAGTACCCGTCCGATGGACGGGTTATCTTTATTTAAAATTAAATTAAAATGAAAATTTATTATAACTTATAAAGAAAACAATTTTCAAAAAAAAATTTTGAAAAGAGATTTTATTTGGTTTGAAGTATCAAATAAACG